TTTCTTTACATTATTTAATATACGGTATATAATAAATAATAAAACCGTCAAGTATTTAATTTAGACCTTTAAAATTTTGTTTCCTTATTTTTATTATAAAATTCATTTTTGTTTGATATTTCTACTAAACAAATCAAATACAAAACATCTTTTCCTTTATTACACTGTAATTATTATAGTAACCTTAAAGGTTTCAATAATACAAAGAACTTGTACAATGCCCATAACCACTTGTTATAACCAAACATTAAATTGTGGCTAAGTTTAGTGTAAATCTATTAGATGCCATATACAATATTTATATTGTTATGGCCATATACAATATTTATATTGTTATATAAGCTAGAGTAAAATTAAAATTTAAATTTTAATTAAAATAAAATTTTAAAATAATAAAAATAAATAGAATATATAATTTAAATTCTTTTAAATATTAATTTTTATCTTTATATTTTAAAAATTGTTTGCAAATGCTCTGAAATTCATGGAAATTTTTCGATATTTTTATATTTTAAACTTATTTCAAAACGTTTTTAGGTAATAATTCTTATTAAAAGTTTTTATTTTTAAATCATAGGCAGAACCTTTAGGCAAAATCTCAGTATCTTTTTTAACTAGAATTGAAGAAGTTAATAAATCGGGTTAAGGTAAAATAAACACATTTGAAAAACGTTAAACAAAAAAATAGAAATTTTATATGTAGATGGTTGCCATTTATTATAAATTTATCAGACTTAAAGCTTGTTGATTATATTTTTGCTTTAAGTTTTCTTTTACTAACTAGCTATTCTCATTTATTATGAAATGTTTCAACCAACACATATACTATTATTAGGTTAAAATTTCTTTATATTTTTTTAATTTTTGTTTTTTTGTTTTAATTTTAAAGGTCGATATAAGTATTTAAGACATAATAATAAAATTATAATATGATAAGCAATAAGTATATAATATGAAAAATGATACTAACATTCTCATATTGTAACATAGTACTTTTGACGACGATATTGTTAAAAATAGCACTTATACGCACCACTACATTACAAAAATATTAAGTTATTGTCCCATATTTAAAACAACATGAGAATAAACTATAAATTTCGATATTTTTTTATAGATTATTTGAAACTCAAGTCTCCACCAAACAAAAATTATGTGTGTATAATAATTTTATTCTTAACCAATTGAGATCAAAAGTTTAAAAGCAAAATAATTTATAAATTTATTTCATATACACTATTACTTATGCAAAATGTATGTACATGCATGTATGTATATGTTATGAATTAATGACATCAAAGAAATGCTTTGTAGGAGGAAATATTTATGTCATCTTTCTCTCTTTTAAGTTTTTTTAATAAAAATTCATTCTGACAGCAAAATACTTTCACATTTAAATGTTGTTTTTTTTATCGTATAAGAGAAGTATTATAATAGTCTCGAATATTTTATGTTGAGTTTTCTTCTTTTTCATACCAGAGAAATTGAAAATGCGATAATTTCATAGTTTTTTCCCGGCGAACGAAGACTGACCTTTACCAGGGGTGTTAAAGACTGTTATAATCTAACCACAGTTCCTTTGAAGTATTATATTTTATCCTCTCCTTATATATTATAACCTTTTTAATAAAAAGTTTGTTATAAGTTTATAAATACTCTTTACAAAGAAATTTTACAAATTTTTTATTTTAAGGGATATCTTGAGCAAAAGGTAAATAGCACTTTCATAAATAGCACATTTTTTCCTTAGGTCAGATTTGGATTGGTTAAAAAAAGTATCGAATTTATATCTTGCCTCTTAGAACTCAAAACTAAGAACTTGTTGTGTCGGTAATAACATGTTAGAAAAGAAAAAATTTAGAAATTTCATAAAGTTTTGCAAAATTTTAAACCATAATTTTTAAAAATAAAATATTTTTTAATCTTAATCATTTCAAAAATGACAAAATAATATTCAATATATTCGCTTTCTCTTTTTAACCGAAGCTCTCAGATTTATAAGATAAAAACTCAGATGAAGAAAAATTTTATAAATTCTCTGAGATGAAAAACGCTCAATAAATTATTGAGCGTCATATTGTTTTAGCCAGAAACACCGAAAGAGAGTATAAAAAATAATGTAAAAATTAATTTGTCGAAATTTTGAAACTTAAGTCGAAATTAAGCAGACATTTTTGGATTTAATTTAAGAAAATTTCCACTGAAACAAACAAAATTCAATTTTGAACAGATAAAATATTTTTGCAATATGTCCAATCAAATTTAATAAATAATTTTTCATTAATTTAAAATTTTTGCACAGTATTTCATTTTCAAATTCTTAATTTTTTATAATTAAGAAATTTGTGAAAATTTTAAAAGTTTGCAATTTCTCAATTTATTTGGTAAAGATTTTTTTTTTATTTTATTTTTTTTTTTATTATTCCAAATTACATACATAACGTATATGAAAGTTTTTGCTTCTAAATTAAGATATTAAATATAATGTCAATTAAAATAAAATATCATAAAAATTTAAATACCAAACCGCACAAACAAGAGTTTCTGATAAGTTATAGCTGGTTTTTGTAAAGTTGCTTACAACGAAATACAGGCGAGAGAAACGGGTAAACACACAAAAACTATAAATGTAGTTGAAAAGAAGGATGAGTACAATTTGCATATAGCCATTTATCACTCAACAAGGAAAAGAAGAAAAAAAATTTAGCGTTTTCCACTATAACAGCATCAAAAAGCTTCTTGACTTCATTTTGAAATTAATTTATTCAGTTTAAATAAGAAAACAAAAAAAAAATAAAAAGATTAAGATTTTCTTGAAATTATTTGTGCGGTTTTTTATTTTAATTTAAAGTCAAAAGTAGGGAAAATTTTTTCCTTTTTCAAATGCAAAGGCACACTCACACATACTCTCTATATTTACATATAATAAATTTTTTTTTTCTGAATAAATTTCATGCAATTCCGTTTTTTAGCTTGTCTATTATACTAAATAGTCCTTCGGGGTAATTTTTCTATAATTTTTTGCAATTATATAAAAAATATTTTCGTTCTCTTTACATATTTTTCCGTCTAGTACAATCTACATACGTATACATATATAAATGATATAAACGATTTTATTTGTGTGGTTATTTATTGTTTTTTTAACTGTTCATATTGCCATGACCTTTACGAAATTAAAAATGAAATTCCTTGGAAATTCTTCCTTTTCTATTTTTTTTGAATATTCATTTTACGATATTTTAGATCACTATTCGGTTTCAAATTTTGTTCGAAAAATTTTCGAATTTTTCATTTGAAGAGGACCTTCCGTTTGTGTAATAATTATATGTATATAAGGACAAGTTTACCGAAAGTGCAAAAAAATACTGGTTACCCTAGATGGTGAGCATTGGTTTTTTTAAGAATTTCGTTTTGTTTTGTTAAAGAATTTTTTTTCCAAAGGTAAAATAACTTAGATCTTTAGGAAATTTAACCTAAAAAAACAATTTAATAACTAAGCCGTATACAATATTTAGCTACGTAGATATGTACAAAAATAATTAATAAATGGTCATTGCGTAATCAACTAAAAAAATTTGGTTTTATAATCAATTACTTTTTAAATCAATTTGACTATTTTATTTGCTTCTTCTTTAAGAACTAATTGTTTTCATATAACGAAATATATGAGCAGCCTTTAATATGAATAAAAGATTACCAACGTACATTAAAGGTTAAGTTTATTGTTCCCCAGATTTTGTTTTTAGTACAATGTTTAGTTTGATTTCATAATCACATAAATATTAAAAAAAAAAACCGAAAAATTTTGTCTGGATCCTTTTCTTAAGTTGTACTTTTCAAGATGTGATCTCTGTTTGTCATTTCAGAAAAAAAACTTAAGTTAAATATTATACACGCATTGTGTGTACAAACATACCCCATAAAAGAAAAAGGAGAGAATAAAATATTTTTAGTTCTGTCATTTTTCTGTGACATTCTTTAAGGATCTATAAAGCATACAAAAGTCCTTCATAGTTTTTTTTATGTGTGTATGGTATAATGTGTTCCTTATTTAACTACCAAAAAAAAATATTAAAAAAATCTATCTAAAAACAAAAAAAATAGCAAAAAATTATTCAAATCACGCATATTTTTAAAGATTTATTATCCGAAAGGAATTTAGGATCAGAAGCTTAGTAAATAAACATATTATGTATGTATAAATAAAAAAAATTAATTCACAACAAGAATAAATGTCAACTCTGTGATTCCGGTACTAATGAATAATTCGATTGAGCCTCGAAATGTTTTTTAAGAAAATATTAACCTCATTACTATTTTTCACCTGTATTTTATGAATTATTTCCAAAATATGGCGTTATATTATTGGTCATGGTAGCTAGATGGACCACTATCCAGATAACAAACGAATTTATTACAGTTTTGGCATAAACTTAAATATAATTTTTCAAAGTTTGGTCTTATTAATTTTTTGAACAACTGCTGGAACCAACAGACGGACAAGCATGGTTAAATCTATTTAAATATTAATGTTAAGGAATAATATATTATACATTACTCTATATTTCTAATAAATATTTCTTAGAGTTATAAACGGAATTATGTTTTTAAAATACCCTACGATTCGAATGACTTATAAAAAAGAAATTGTCATGGAAACCTATTCCTGATTATGTATACATGCAAAATTTTAAGTTTTGAATTTCGATAATATAAATTTTTTTTTATTATTCTGATTGAACCGCCTCTGAATACAATATTTATAAAAGTTAAGCTATTTTCAAGTTGTTACATTGTAAATTTTCTTAGTTTTTAAATGGATAATATTCTTTATTATTTTAAAATAAAAAATTTTGGTTATTCAAGAAGAGCAATTCTAAATTAGTTCTGAATTAATATAAAGGGTCCAAAAAATATAATTAAGAACCCTATTACGATACGTAAGTAAAGTACATTTCCAAACAAACAATATTAATTTCCATAGTAAGTTTTCTTACCTGTGTAAAATAATAATCCGTTTGGTTGCCTTGTTCGAAAATATAATGTAATTGCATCTTGTGCACTAACTATTGGTTCAGCTCCAGTTTGCCCTAAATCGTATGATAAAAATTCTGTTCCACGAAATGTCGCTTCGGATGGTGCTTTATCTGAAATTAAAAGAAAAAGAATTTTATATAATATATGGGAATTATTTAAAATACATAATTAAAGCATCAGCCAGTGAGATTCAATTTTTACAGATAACAATTTCGGGATTTTACAAAATCTAAATATCTGTGATTAAGATTTTGTAATAGTAATTTTTTTCAAAAATTTTTATTTAACACAAGGGTTACTAACTTCTGAAATAAATAGTTAAAAATGTTAACTGTTATTAATTTTAACATTTTTGACTCAATTATTCCCAATTTCCTAAAAAATTCAAAATTAAATGTGTTAACATAAAATTCAAGCTGGTGAGGAAAAGTCCAATATAATTGATTTGAACAAACCGTTTTCATAGGTCAATAAGATAAAAATGGCGTAGAATTAAAAGATCAGTGTCGCAGTTGTTAAACTACGTAATTTGCTTAGTAATTTGAATAATCACATTTCAACACACTTTAGAAAGTAGATTTCAAATAGACCAGAATGGTTTAATAAAATTAAATTTAACGTGACACAAAAAAAATCATGAACTTTAACAGGGGGAGTATATATTTCGTAGTTATACAAACATGAATCGTAGTTAGATTTTAAAACACTCTTTAAATATTTCGTTTATACATGGATATAGAAATTTATGTGAACTGAAACGTATGTACAGTTTCAAAGTTATACGCCACTCGCAGTATATGCTAGTATTTTAGTTAATTTTTTATTTTATTTTTTATTACTAAAGTAGATTTTTTATACTATAAAGTTTATTAACTTTTCAAAAGTTTTTTTAAAAATCAGAAGTTAATGGAAATTTTAAAGTTGAATAACTTTTTACTAAGAAATATAGTAGATTGGGGAACCTAACTTTTAATTCATGTATACTAGTTCATTCTTTAATTATTTATCACTTTTTTTGTATGAACACAAACATATAACATCCTTATATATTATATTAGTTATGGCAACATAATGTAAAATGGTTTTGTTTTTCCATATTTTAATTTAAGAGTGTTCCATAAGTTAATTTAAGAGTATTTTAGAAACAAAAATAACTACAATATTTTTGCAAAAAATATACTAAATACACTTTTATTCTACAAAAATAATGTACAAACAGAAATAATGCATCAATAAATATGTATGTATAAATAAAACTGATGGGATATAAGAAATTTAATGGAACATTTTGCATTAAGCTATGTAATATGCACTGATAAGTGTTATGTTTATGCTATTGAAATAAGCTAATTATCTGACCGGAAACATTTTATTATTTACGTAAATCTATACGTAATAAGTACCTTATATATACCATATACACACATATTTCAAATTATGTATGTAAGTAATTTTAATTTTATATCAAAAATTAATCGATAGTTTTAAAATTTAAACTTTAAGATTTTAATTACAAACTTAAAATTATAATTTTGAGATCATTGCAGAATATAAAATTCATATTACATATTTATAACACATATTATAGGTGTTATATATTTATATGAAATTAAGTTGCATTTTATTGAACTTTGGGTCAAAATGAAAGTGTTAGAAGATTAAATAAATTTTAATGGTCATATATTATTATATACCTATTATGTACACATATTTTTAATAATGTAATACATATGCGTATGTTTTAAAGCAAATATGTATTTGTGTACATAGTATCAGTACATAAGTTTGTAATGCTTAGTTGAGGTAAACATATTTGAAAAATTAATGAAATCTATTCATTCGAAGAGACTCAGAATGTTGTTGTTATTGTTAAATTTACATCTACTACAGATTCATTTGCCTATGTACATATGTAGGAACCACGTTAAGGGTAATTTAAGAAACTCATTTTTAAATTAAAACCTATAATTTAAAGTAATTTAATTTATACGAAAATAAAATATCTTTAATGAAAGAGTTTAATATTTTATGCTTATAAAGAAATTTCAAATTTTAATATTAATTAAACATTTTTATGAAAAATTTCATTCTGAAAAATGTCAATGACCGAAACGAAATTCCTATTAACTGAGTAATGTAAATTTAATTAAATACTTTTATCGTTTTGAATAAAAATAAATTCTGAACATGCTTTCTATTCTCTTTATATGATTTACTGATTTTTTAAAGTATTAACCTTATATTTTATGCTGTTTCAAATGTAATTCAGACAAAAGTAATAATGTGTACCAAAAAAATTCCTTAATTTTATACGATTATTATTTATTTATTTCATCCATTGAATAAACAAAATATTATCCATGTACTCTTCCAAAATAATATAAATACATACACACAAAACATAATAAAATACGTCTTCTCCTCTTATTTTTATTTAAAAAAAAATAAACTTTCGAAACCAATTTGTGATAAATTATAACGAAATGGTTCGAACATAAAGGAAATTTCTATATAAAATGAAAATAAAATTGCTAAATAAATAAAAATACAAAAAAAAATTTTGCGTAAAGGAAATCTGCCTATAGCCAAAAACAATGGAAATTTTAATAAAATGGAAAATCGCATATAAAAATTTTTATACAACGTACAGCGAGATACAATCTTAAAAAAAAAAACAAAATACAAAATATCCCGTTTCAAGTGCTGTGCTTTTCAGTTGAGCTGAAAAAAGAATTTCGACCATGATTTTATTTGAATCACGATAAAAAATCTAATCGTATACGCTACTAGTTTGTAAAATAAAGCTTTCGCCTAGAATGAAAATAATTACAGCTCAATAAGTTTTATTAATTTAAACTAAAAACAAACTAGTGAGGTAATATAGGCTCACTCATATTACTTGAATTTTTTTCATTTTCTCAAGATTTTACTTAGTTGTGAGTTTTATTTGTTTACGACTTTAATGAAAAACCAATTAAAAATTAGGCATACAATCTCTGGTGAATTTATTGAAAAACAAAAAAAAAAATTGCATACATTTAGGGGAAAAATTTGATCACAGGAAATTAGACATTGTTTTTATCAGATGAGACTTTTTAAGAAAGTGAAATGTTTTTGTTAATTTCGGTATTGCTTAATAGTAGTAGAAACAGCAAAGGCATTAACCCAACTATAAAATAACCGAAATCATACGTTACATATTATGTACATAACTGCAATTTTCGTGAAATTAGAGAAACATCTGAATGGAAGACTTTGTACACGGAAATATTTTTTTTTTTGTTTTTAATTTATTGAGAAAAGGTACGCAAAAAATTTTATAGAGTTCACTTGAATTATTAAGATTTAACCGTAGAATAATAACCTTACTCAAATATATTATAAATTGCCTTAAAGCGATTTTTTTAAATGATTGTTATAAATTTAAATATAATTAAATTTACAATTTATAAATTTATTTATTTTATTTTATATTGTTGTAGTGAAATGCATTTCGAGTTGTTTAAATTAGTTCCGAGATATACATATAGTAAGATAACTAAATTCATTAGAAAGTAAAGAAGTTTTTCTGAAATTTTACATTGCATAAAATGTGGGTGTATAACTTGTACTCTTACGTCTAAATTAATTAAATATCTATTATGATTTTCATTTCAAAGAAAATTAACTTAATATATTCCTATACACATCTTAACTGAAATATTATGTTAAGCTATCAAAAACTTAAAAATATTCAGGTAATGTTATTTTCCTTCTATTATGTTAAAGATTTTATAAGGCTATTAAGAAAATTGAACGTTCAAAATTCAAAAAATTCAAAAAATTCAAAAGAATTTGCTTTATACAAAATAATAAATGAATTTTATACTAAATTTTATAAGAATAGTTAAGTATAACGCATATTCCGAAATTTGATTCAACTGATTTCTAAAGTACAATTATTTATTTTCAGGCTTACACATTTTCGAATCTAAACCAATCCGAGAAATTTGCCAATCTAAACCAATCAGAGAAAGAAAATTAAAATTCTTTAATTAAAAATTATTTAACTATTATTTATTTATTAAGGTTCACGTTGCGTATGTTGAGTCTATTATTTTTATCTAATTTCCATAATTTTGTGGGGTAATTTTAAATAAATTATTTTCAAATCAGTTGAAATGTTAGAGAATTCAAAAAGGAAGGAAAGCTCTAAAATAAAATTTAAGTGTTTAGTAAATATTTTCATGCTGCATAAATCTTTCCAATAACAATATGCTGTTATAAATCCTTTTCGTATAAATATTTTATTTTTAGCATTTGCGTATATTTCTGAACTCAAAACTAAAAAATAAAACAAAATTTTGTTTTCTTTTAATATTTTTATGTGTGCATATGATGATGTTATAACTAAAAAAATAAAAGGATAATCTTATTATTTTCATATAATCTTTAAAATTCATGTTTTATCAATTTATACATAGGCAAATATTTCTTTCCGTTTCAGTTGTTTCTTAACATTTTTTATTTCGGTTATATTATTCTACTTTCTGCCTTTTTTTCCAACGTATCCTGCTTTCTAGTGTTGCCTTCTTTTTTAGCTTGGACAACCAAAAATATTCATGATTTTCGGTTTTTTTTTCTTGTTTTTATGCACCCTTTCAATATTTTTGCTTTGTTTTCAGTTTCTTTTTAACAAAAAAAAAAAAAATCTTATTAAATTACCAATACAAGTACCATTAAAATTTTACAGCACATACACTCTTATCAAAATGTATAAGGTTTCACTTTCTAGAAAATAAAATAAGAATAACTTGAATTATCCTTTTGTAACAAAACAAATGGCAAAAAAGGACACAATTCTTATATACGAGAAAATTTGCGTATATATATATATATATATATATATATATATATAAATATGGAAGTAAACACACATAGCAACAAATATATATATTTAACAAATAATATAGAAACGAAAACAAAACAGAGAAAATGAAAAAAAGGAAAAACAAAAGATGAAGCTGAAAAGGATTGAAATTCTTGAAAATTGTGGCTTGATAAATTTTCCGTCTGTGGTAATTTTGATGATAGCAGGAATATATACAAAATGCAATAATTTTGGTTCCAA